GTCCCATAAGTTACAACCACTTTTCAGAAGTTATCATTCTTTAATTATCAAAGGGATACCTTATTATTACAAAACATAAACCATTAAAACAACAGTAACATAGTGGTTCTGATCATCAGATTTGAATGTGTGTTTTTGTTTTGAACTCCATGGAAAATATTAACCTAATTTGAGAACATTTTTATTATTACAAATGAAATATACATGCTTGAAATCATTATATTTCTGAATACACTGCTGTTATTGCTACAAGTTTAACTAAGAATTTCTAAAACACATTTCAAACTAATTTATGTTTAAATTTTATTCATACTTATTTGTCAAAAGCATATTTTCAGAATACAGTCCCCTCAAGTTACTCCTTGTCCTGGAGCGAAAGATATAGCCAAAATAAAGGAGAGGGGAGATACACAGGGTTGGGACCAGGCTTACTTAATCAATAGTACGGGCTTGGTTAAAAACTACTCCCTGCCATGGAGTTCATTCTGACTTATGGTGACCTAGATACAGTAGGGTTGAACTTCCCTGTGAGTTTCCTAGATTATAAGTCTTCACAAGGGTAGAAAGTTTCATCTTTCTCCTATGGAGTGGCTAGTGGTTTCGACTGTGGACCTTGCGGTTAGAAGCCCAATGTGTCACAATTATACCACCAAGACTCTGATTTGAGTCAAGATACCACCTTTTGGTGAAAGTAAAAAGCATAGGAAATGCATTATTGATTGCTGCCTAGATTATTTTGCTATACAAATATTCCTAAAATCAAAAGCGCTTCTAGCAACAAAGGGCTCCATTTTAAACCTTTTTTGTTATTCTTGTTTCTTGCGTGTGTTATCTTTGGCGGTACGTGTCATCAGGATCTGGTATTGCTCGGTCCGAAATACCACGGTTAGGTGAGTTTAAGAAACAGACTTTAATTTTCTCACAATTTAAGGTGCTGGAAGTCTTAATTTGTAGCGACAGCTCTAGGAAACAGCTCTCTTCCTCTGCTGATTCTGGTGGAAGATCCTTGTCTCTGCCCAGCTTCTATTTCTTTATGGCTTGGTGATCTCATTTGCTGTGGAATTGCTTGTTTGCTTAATCTGCTTTTATATCTCAAAAGTTTAAAATGATTAAGTAAAAACACACATCACGCTGATTTTAATCCTGCCTCATTAGCAAAGGAATGAGCACTTATTTTTTAATGTGATCATAAGTAGGGTAATAGAATTTACAACATAATTTTGGGGGGACACAATTAAATTATAACAGTGCTCTTTTTCTGTTATTGTGGTTGATGTTGTTATTGTCCAATTTGAAATTACAGCCCTTATTTTGATATGACAGTTTTCTGTGGTGGGGGAAGGGAGGAGAATAGATCCAGAAAACTTTTGAAAGTCATAATACTTCTAACATGCCTCATGAAGGCAACACAGAAGATATTGGTACTGCAGTAAAGTGTGGGGAAGAAAGTAGATGGTGTCCAGCTATCAAATAGAACAGCAGCTGGGGTCTTAAAGGCTTGTTTCTAAACAAGCAGTCTTCTAAGTGACATGTCAACTAAGTCCACGTGGAAGAAGCACACCAACATCTGTGACCCAAGAATTGTAAATCATATAATCCAATAGAATCAGAGCCCAAATGGTAAGATTCTGGTTTGCAGAAAGGTATGGATTATAGTGGAAGCTCAAGATCCTTTAGGGAGAGTTACATAAGAAATACGCTTCTGGTGACTTCCCTCTATCTAAAATGGAGGGATGGGGAATAACAAAACAAGTTACTAAACAGAGAGAATTGAAGAAATGACTACAGGAGATCGAAAAGATAAGCCCGACTTGAAAGGTTAAAATCTTGTCACTTGATCCACCTTTTACACCAGCTTGGCCTGATCTGGTTTTCAACATTTTCTTTGAGTTTGTTTTATTTTCATAGTGGGTTTGTCTCTGGTGTATTTCACATTGTGGGTAGCCCTCTTGATTTTTTTGTCATATGTTTTTCTGGGGTTTGGTATATGAAACACGGGACTACAGAGGAACCTGCAGAGACAGGAAGTGGAATAAGGGCTCCTGGGGGTACAGTGGGGAAGATGGGGGGTACGGGGGAGCAGATATCAAGTTCAAAAAGGAAGGGAATGTTCTGAAATTGTGGTAGCAATTGTACAACACTGCTTGATGTGAATGAACTATGGAATGACATGCCATCTGTATTAGTTTCAAATAAAATGGTTTTGAAAAAAAACAAACAAAAAACTACCTCCGTCTAGAAGTTGAGAAAATAAATGTTCAAGAGAAATAAATCAGCGGCGATGACTCTGTGGCAGCTCGGGACTGACGTGCAAGTCGCACAGTCACCCTGGTTCTCCGGGCCAGTCAGCAGTCTCCATCCATGTGCGGAGGAACACTGGCGTTAGCGCAGGAACTTGATGTTATTCAGAAACTTTATGCGGACAAGATAAGAGAACACACTTCTAAGCAACAGGCATCTGGAGGACCTGTTAATACTGGCCCAGAATATCAGCGAGAGATGGATGGAGAAGGAGAGGTTTGGTAAAGTAGACCTGAATCGGTCCCTCGCGTCACATTTGAAGATCCCAAATTTGAAGCCATTAAAAAACCTCAATCCTGAAGCAATATTTAAAACTAGTCTGGTAATTTGTCATGGATTAGTTGTGCAATTAAGCAGTCATCAGAATAACCACGTTTGGCAATAAAAAAGAAAAAAATCCTGTAAATATTCTAACCTCAAACTTATACTTCATACACACTGTAGACTTCCGAACTTTTAAAATATTTTTTGCTACAAAAGCCAACTGTATTATAATGGTAATATTTTAATTTAAAACGACCTAATATGTATTTCCATTTATGTGTACCCTCACCTTTTAACTCAGGTAAATAAGACCAAGAGGAAAACAAAACAAAACAAAGGATTAGATCAGTTGCTAAATTGACGTCCCAGCTCATGGAAGAAGAACATGATCTAAAGTGAAGATGTTTTCTTCATTTCCAAGCAGTGAGACACGTCTCATAGACGAAAGCATGCCTCTCAGCAAAGCACAGTGACACACACCTAGGTCAGACGGAGACCAAGTGCCTTTCCAAAGCACCAGGGAGATCGCTCTCCCAAGCTTGCCGAGAGCCTGATGTTGTTTTTGCTGTGTGCCTCTCATCTCCACATCCAGCCTACGTGACCACCGAACTCACTGTGCAGTTGACTGACAGCAGACAGCATGATCGCAGCTCACAGCGTCTCCCGAAGGCAGACCAGAATCGCCGCCCCGTGGGTCTCCAAGACTGTAATTCTTTAGGAAGTCACATCTTTCTCCCCAGGAGCGGCTGGTGGTTTTGAACTGCCAACCTTGTGTTTAGGGCTGCACCTCCAGGGCTGCTTTCCCAACTTAAGTGGCTACTTCCAAATTAGAAAAAAACAACAAAAACCCAAACTCACTGGCATCGAGTCAATGTTGACTCCTAGCTACCAGCTGTGGGTGTGTTTCCAAGGTTGTAACCGTTTCACGGGAGTAGAAGCCAGTCTTCCGCCAGTTTACATTGACTCTATTTTTAAAAAACACTCCCTCATCTAGGCAATTCCAATTCAAAGCAACCCTGTGGGACCACCCTTGTGGGTTTCCCAGGCTGTACATCTTTACAGGTGCAGTGCCACATCTTTCTCCTGCGAAGCAGCTAGTGGGAAATAACTACTTACTTGGTTCACAGCCCAACGCATAACCCATTGTCAAGCCACCTATAGGATTTATAAAACGGCCGCGTCAGGTTTCCTGGGCTGAAATGTTTATAGGAGTAGATGTTCAGGTCTTTTCCACCACGGAACACCTGGTGAGCTAGCCACTTTCCTAGGGAAGAGGAATTGACAAGAACTTTCTTTTTAAGGTGGTTATAAAAATCAAATGCAATAATTTAAGTGCCAGGCAGTTCGTTATTTAATAAATATTTAAAACTCACAAAGAGCCCTGGTGACAGTGGCGATACATTAGCTTGCTAACCGCAAGGCCAACAGTTCAAAGCCACCAGGCAATCCTCTGGAGAAGATGAGGATTGTAAAGAGTTACAGTCTCGGAAACCGGCAAGGGCAGTTCAACCCTGAGTGAGTTGAGTGAAACTCAACAAAAGGATCTACCCAATGCCACGAAGTCGATCTCAACTCACAGGGACCCTGTCAAGAGTCAGAAAGATTTACAGCACAAGAGATCAAAAGCAGAGATCATAAGCAGAGATCAAAAGAAAGAAAAAAGTTACTGAACAAAGCGAACCTATGGTAGAGAGCGAAACGAATGGCTTGTCTGATCAAATGGCTTTAGCCTGTATGGCACAGTGGATTCTTTCATGCTACTAAATGTCTAGTCATCTTAGTTCCGATGTAACCACATGTCAGTGTGGAAATGCAGAGGGCAAACTGCATGTCAGCTTTAAAGATAACAGGAATAGCAACCATGCGAATAGTTAACATATATATTGAGGGTTTGTTGGCTATGTCCTATGAGATTTAAATATGTTCATCCCTTTAGTGCTCATATCAAATACTTATTATGCCTATTTAGGGAAAAAGAAACCTTGGTCAAAATCGCACTACTTGCCAGTAGCTAAGGCAGGGTTCAAACCGCAGACTTTCTGGAATTAAGGAAAAAAGGCATTGCCTCTCTAGTAAGAGAGACTTTCAGTAGTCCTCAAAGATTTTTCGTAAATACACTGATACCGTGGCTGACATCATTTGGAGAAAATAAAATATTCATTTGATTAAGGGACAAATATGTAATGTTTAAGGAAAACCCGAAAAACAAAGTGCTGCTGTTGTTTTTAATTTGAAGAATCCTGAAAAGTTATGAGAATAATTATTCACAAACAACGACGTCTAAACCCATGGTGTTCCCTGTTCCTTTGTCACTTTCCTTCGTGACAGAAAGGGTTGGCCACATCAGCCGAGATACAGTCAGAGCCGGAGTGAGCTAAACAGGAAGCTGCTGGGGATCCCAGAGACAGACTCGGACAGGCAGGACGGACGCTAGCTGGGTGGTTCTCACTCGCCCGTCCACTGCGGCAGGGCAGGTCGCCATCTGCCCAGTATCCCCTCCTTCCAGGCTTCTTGGAAGAAGCATCGAAGGAAAACAAAACAGCTTCAACTGCGTTTGAAAAGGGGGGAAAAAATCTTTTCAAGAACTTTCTTCAGAGATTTTACTCGTGAGTACTTGGCAATATACTTTCTAACTCTTAAGAAATAACTTTCATTGCTTTTCTTCTAGGGAGTGGGCGTTGGGTGGGGGTAGAAACAGGGTGCTAGAAGGCAAAAAAAACCCTATGGGGCCCGCTATTCCTCCAACATGAGAATCATTAGTGCCCTGTAAACAAAGTAAACCTAACATTACAATGCAAAATTAAGTCCTCAGCATGTTTCATTTAATTATCAGACAAAGAACAGATTTGTAGTTAGGCTTTTAAAGTCATGAACCGTGTGTTTTAAGAAGATGTTGAAATCCATCCTTTCAAGTGTGAAGCATGCTGTAACAATTACTGTTTGTTGAGTGGAATAATTTTGAGGGTTTGGCTTGTGTTAACTTTATTTAGTAGTATATCAAGAAATAAACAGATCATCTAACAGCCATATGTTTAAAGACATTTCTTTTATAGCCATTAGTCAATGCTACTTAAAAGGAAGTACAAGCATTAGACTTACTATCATCTTGATTAAATATTTTAAAAATATATTATTAACCTCTCTTAGAGAAATATTTTACTAGTCTACAAAGACTAAAGTTCAAATTCAGGATGCACAAGTAAGAATATGAAAATTGAAATGTCTATGTAGGACAATTGTGGAAATTAAAGCAATAGATAGCATACCTCTATGATGTACTGTCAGATTCTGATTGCTTATGATACATATTAAATGGTGCATCTAGCAGCAAAGAAAAGCACATGTTCTAATAGCACAAAATATAACTATCATGAGATGAGTACTTATTTATATTTAATTTTTATCTTAAAGTGCATTTTTTCATTATATTTTTTTAATTATGAAAAGAGACAACAGCCAGTTCCATGTGGGAAAAAAGAAGAGATAAGCAACAGCGACAGTGTGAGTCAGTGCTCTGGGAATTAGTCACAAAATGACTTTGTGCAATATGTGATAACATAAAACGGGCAGAACCCAAGCAGGAAACTGCAGCTCAGAGTCATAGGTCATGCGCATAGCAAAATATTTGTGTAAGAAGGAAAAGTCTGGGACAATTAGGGAAAATTACAAAATGTTTCTACATAACAGAACCCTTTTTAGGACAAGTTAAAGATTTTCTCTCTCTCTCTTTTTTTTAAAGATTCTCTTAAATGCATCATTCTATTGCATGCTTATTGCAATGCATACTATCCATAGCCCATCTAACCCTACACTAAAGAGTAAAAAATCTCCTGGAAATTTTTTTGGAATAAAAAAGTTGTATTCCAGACCTATCATCTAATAAAATTAGACATATTTATAGGGATTAACAGAGTTTGATCTTCAGATGGTTGTAGAATCTTGTTGGAAATTTTAAGGAATAGAACACTATCATTTGGTTGTTCCCTTTCTATTAGGTGTTCTGAATTGGACATTTTTAAAGGATAATTTTGATTATCAGTAAATCATTTGTTTTATCGCCCCTTTGAGATCTGTATCCTGATCAAATAGTGTATGTGATCAATGACATTTGCTCATCTGGTTGTCAGTATCCCTGCTTTACGTTCTTATGAGGTGTACATCTATTTGGAAAAGAACATTCTATTATAAAGTAATACATTGTAATTTAAAATACCTTAAATGGACATGATTTTTATATTAATCTATCATTCCAAAAGATCAATTTACTGCTTCCTTAGGAATTACATTTCTAGTCTTGTTTTTCTGTTACTCAAATTCAGAAGACAATTGGACAGAATGGTAAGCTGGTAGAGGGAAGAGGGCAAGCTCAAAAGCCTGACTTTATTCCCTTAATGAGCACAGTCCTAACCAAATAATACGTGCATCTGAAAATGTTTAAGGCTGATTGACTATTGAATTCTGTGTCACAAACTTTGAAGACAGATTCTAACTGACAACACTACGTAATAGATGGTAAAATACAAGTAAATACCCTTACCCAAAACAAAGACAATATGAAAAATAAAAGAAAATACTCAGCAATTTCGAAAGAGTCTATTTCGGCCTATATTAGTATTTGAATAAGATGATTGATTAAGGTGGGTTAGCTATACCACCAACGTGTATTTTGCTATGTGGAAAGATTTATGACTTTTATACAATCCAACTCATCTGTTAATAAATATAATCTGCAAGACCTTTTCATTGTTGTTTTGGGTACCATTTAAACCATGTACCTTATTTGGGGGATTTACCTGAAGGGTTATCTCTTTATTTAAAAAAATAAAAGAAGAAAATTAAAGCATCAAAAGGAGCTTCTGAGACCTTTTAGAAAAATATAGCAATGTTGTTAATTTTTTCTGATTATTACTGTCTGCTTTAAGAGAATTCTGTGGACACAAAGTAACTACTAAGATTCTTATTTCTAGACAATAAATCTCAAGATGATGAGAGGAAAAGTGCATGTTTATTCCAGAGTTCCTCTCATGCTAGGACATCCTTCTTAATTCTCCCAGACCCTCAGACTATGTGCTTGGTATAAACAATCTTCCAACTACGTTTTTGTGGCCGTCTTCACTTTTTTCAGTGATAGCTAACTTGTAGAACTGGAATTTATGATTCAACTACCAACAGTACCAATAAGCTGAAGACTACCTAGTTATCTGCACTCCTCTTCTTTACAGGACCCGCAGTAATGAAAATACAGCACTCGTGTCAAATCTGTTATTCTACCTCTCCGAGTCTCCCTTTGGGAGTCCATGTTCTCCCTTAGTTAGAACTATGACCTTGAAAACACTTTTTTAAACAGAATTAGAAGGCACCAATGAGTCCTCATGGCTCAGTAGGCTAGGCTACTAACAAGGTCAATGGTTCAAACCCACCAGGTGCTTCAGGGGAGAAAGATGAGGCTTTCTTTTGTAAAGATTTACAGGGTCAGTAACCCACAGAAGCTGTTCTCATTATGGATTGGCATGGACTCGATGACAGTGAGCTTGTTTGTTTTATATTTCATAGTAGAAGTGCCAGCGCTGAAATACTTCTATCCCAATTGCCCCTCGGATGGACCACAAATCTCTAGGAGACTTGCAATAATTGAAAGAATTCTCTAGTCAAAATGTGATAGTAGCATTCTCTCTAGACAAAATAAGCTTATCTGTGGAGTAGAGCAATTTCAACACCAATGATGAAAGTATGCATCAACATGACCCTGGTAAATGAGAAAAACATTCTTTATTAAGATGTGTAGTATGGTACTGACACGCTTATTCAATCTCACACTCTCAAAGTGTCCCTACCACCAACCTCATTGTATACCACCAACTTCATCTCCTTTTAGTGTCATTGATTTTCAGTCTGATTTTTATTACCTTTATGCTTCACTTTAGGCTATATATCAATATTTTGTTCTATTTTCTTAAGATAAAACCTAAGGTCACTGCTGTGAGAGCTTTATTTTCTTAATATATTTAAAGCTGCAAACTTACTTCATCTTCAGCTGCATTTTGATATCTATATTATCATTTAAGATATTTTGTAATTTTATTGTCATTTTAACACTGACTTATAGGTTTTTGTTGTTGTTAGTGGCCTTTGGGTGGAGGTTAACTCATGATAACTCCATTTGTACAGAATAGAATTGCTCCATAAAGACTCTGAGGTTGTGACATTGCAAAGCAGATCATTGGCCTGTCTTCCGGGGCACCTTGGGAAGAGTTTAAACTCTGAACCTTTAGCTAGCATTCAAGCACTTAGCCATTTGCCCAACCCAGGAAACCAATGACTTACTTAAAAGTGTATTATTTACCTTTGAAATACTTGGAGATTTTACCACGTTCTCTCTGCTACTAATTTCCAATTTAATTTGATTGGGTTCTGATAATATATTTTACATAGTCTAAAAGGTCTTAATTTAGAAGTGTTGATCAAAAGTTTTAAATCTATACTAAGTATGTTTTATACTCATTTTATTGAATACTGGGAGACGGTTGTTGAACCCTTTGACTGTTGTTCTGAATTTGACAATTCCCCTTTCCAGTTGTGTCAGGTTTTTGTTGTTGTTTTTGCTTCATGTAGTTTTAACCTCGGTTGTTAAATGTATAAATAGTAAGATTGTTCAGCCTTTCGAGAAGGAGCTGTGCCGATGTAGTGGACTCTGTGATGGACCGGTTTCCACAAGGCCAGTGGTTAGACTGTACTAGCAACTCTGCAATAGAAGGAGACTTAGTGTTCCTGTGAAGATTTACAACTGTAAACATCCTATAGGATTGCGATCAATCAGGATTGACCCAGTAGCAGTGAGCTTGGGTCTTTGAGTTTGGCTTGGCTTTAAATATTTCATAATCAATATTTAATTGTTTGGTATATACATTTAATATTGTTTTAGCCTCTTGATGAATTTTATTTACCTTTTTTCAATTCAAAATGACTTTATCATTGGTTTCACTTGAATAAGTATACCCATCCTAGGTTTTTATAGATTAGTGTAAATATGGTATATTCTCTATCTTTGTGCATTTCTCCTTTTAGGACTATCTTCTATTTATATTAATAAACCCTTCGGTTTGCGGTACCTCTCAGCGATGTGTGGTCAGTGTGAATTAAAAGTGTCTTTTCTCTGTATGTTTCACTTTACACAGCTTCTATTGCATGGCTTCAGTTTTACTAATCTCTTTTTCTGTACAGTATAATTTATTAAGAATCTCATCCAGTATTTTTTATATCAGATACTATATAGTATGTGAAACTTTTCACATCTGAAAGTTTAGATCATCTTTTATTTATCCATTTTTCACATTCAATATTTCATTTAACTTCTAGAACATACAGATTATAGCTAAAATTCCAATTTTACTATCCTTGTCTATGAATTCTCTTTTCTCTGTCATTTCTGTGTTCATTTCAATTGTTTGATTTATTTCTCCTTATAATATATTGTTTTCCTTCTTTGCATGTCTAGTAATTTTCATTTAGGTGCTCCATGTTGTGTATTTTCCTTCATTGAGTGCTAGAATGCAAATATTCATGAGCTCTATTTAATATAGTTAAAATATATGGAAACACTTTGTAT